TGGAGCTATACACCGAGATGCGTGTTAAGGAACAAAAGATTTGCCAAACACTGGTTTTGTTAGTTTTCTGTCTCCTCGTGGATTGATTTGACATCTTGTACAAAGCGAGGCTGCAGAGCAGCCTACAGACTGATTCTTCTCTTCTAGAGCAGACACAACAGGAACTGTAGAAATCTCAGTTTCCTGAAGCTGTTTCATTAACATGCCTCATACCCTGCTCTAGAAGTCAAATCTTAATAGTTATTCATTCTTTTGTGTGGTGTCTTCAATGAGAAAGCCTTACATAATGGCCTGTGATGTGTCTGATGTGGGTACCTGTCACCAGCTGAAAGCAGGGAACTGGGAACGAAGACCTTTCAAGTAGGTTGCTAAGCAGCTGTCCAATGGGAAGTATTTTCAGTTTTTCAGTTGGTTTTGTTTCAGGCAGTATTTCAGCTGGTAATTTGGGAAAAGAGCCTTCAGTCTTTCTGTTGTGGTCACTTCTAAAGTATGCTAGCGTTTCATCACTGCCTAGTGCTTAGTTTGGTTTTCCATCTTTGACTTACATGGAAGTACAGAAATCAGGTTCAGGACTGGTAAAACTGCAGCTCAGCTCCCTGCTCCTTGAATGTCACAGTCTTCAAAACAGTGGGAATCTGCACATCACAGGCTTGGAGGTTTGTTTTTTGAATGGAAGCTCACCAAGAGAGTTAATAGTTAGGCAATTTCTATGAGAGTTTTGTTTCAGAATTTGGCCCAAAGCTGTTCATTCGCATCAGTGACTCTTAGTCATGTTTTTATATTTATTTCTGTGTTTAGATGGCAAAATGACATATAACTTAGGACAAGCAGCAGCTCAAGGGAACTTGGTAGCCATGCCATACTTGTAGGATACTCATCAGCGTGACCTCATTTTGTCTGAGACCCTCTGTGCAGCTGCGGGCAGCAGCAATGAAGTACCCTACGTGCTCAGTGAGTGATCCTGTTCTACAGCAACTGTGAAATAAGAGTTGAGCTGGGAATGTAAACGTTGGCTTTAGGCACAGGGATAACTATCAGCAGTTCTGGCACCTTGTGCTGATACAACTGTTTGTACAGCTGCACAATAGATTGGGGATCTGACCTGAGCTGAAAAGTGATCCTTAAAAACAAAACAAAACAAAATGCTGGTTTATTTTTAACTTCAATCGGTTCCCTGGTTTGTTTCGCTGCAAGCAGTTCTACCAGCACCGTGGAGCTGAGTGGGAGGGTGCTGTTCGTGCTGGTGCAGCTGTCAAAGGGTTGTCTGTGTAACCGTGCTCTGAAGAAATAGCTGAAGGAGGAATTAGAAACTGATTTGTCACAGTTGGTGCCAAAAGTAGTCTGAACATAAATAATTTCTCTCTTTTTTGAAGCCAGGCATTTGGATTGAGTTGGTTTCATTGTAGAGGATTGCTTTAAAGAGAAACCAAAACAAGCAGTTGTCTCCACCCCAAAATCTGCCCTGTCTTACCAAACTAGGGAGAACATGGTGGATGAATGAAGTATCAACATGCACCTTTTGCTTGTGCAGATCAAGCCTTTGCATGTTTTCTGACTCTGATATCTCAGAGTGAGAGAGATGCAGAACTAGCTGTACAGCCAGTATTTTTCCCTCCAATTCAATGTTTTTACACGTTCTGAAAGTAAAAACGAAGTTTATGAAGTTCAGGTATATGAAACTTCTTGTTTAACGTCTAATTTCATTTTTTTCGTCTTCTCAGAATTTCTTGTAAGATAGTTCTGAAAGTGGTTCATACGTGTGCCTTGCTCTTGAGTCAGGAGAGCTGACTGTTTTCCTCTTGCAGAATCCTCCCTTCAGCCTCTGTGCTTTACTTCCCGTGTGTGGCAGGTAAGAGCCATTAAATCAAAGTTAGTTTTGGTTCCTGTCAACCACCTGAAGTCTGAAAACTGACTGTTGCCACACTCATCTGGAGTTGGGTGCCCTCACTGGGATTTTCTCATGTTCTTGCACAAGCTGGGAGGATCCTTCCCTATCTTGCCCCCAGCTTTCCAGCTGTCTCGTTGGCAGCCTGAGGGACAGCAGCCCAAGAGGCAGAGCCGTCCCTACTTGTCGAGTCTGTGTGGAGGTGTGAGTGGGAGGTCAGGCTCTAGAGCTGCTTGCACGGTGTGTGATGACAGCATCTTTCAGCCTGGGAGCCAGTCGTCACCCTGGAGGTGATTAGGCTCAACTGACTTCTCAGCTTTGGTTTTGACGCCTCCAAGAGCTTTTGGGAGCTTTTGAACCTGGAGAAGGTGAGGTGGGAGCTTGCTTACAAGGTGCCCCTTTTTCTCTTCACCATCGTGGCACAAACCTGAGACTTTGAACTGCTTGCTGTGGATTCCTGCCTGTTTGATTGGGCAGCCCCTGTGGCACGGAGCACTCCTCCCCAGTGCCACCCACTTGGCTGAGCTCTGTGCGTGTTACACCTCCTGACTCTCTGCCAGCAGCAGTTTGCTGCGCAGGGTGTTTGGCCTCCAGTTCAGCACAAGCACTGCCAGCACTGACTCATGTGCTGGGGGTGTTGTGTCAGCAGGCTGTTGCGCTGCGTTCACCTGCTCAGCTCTCACCTTTTGATGCCGTGGAGGCTGTGGAACTTGGTACCTGCAGCTGACATGAAAGCGCTTCGCTTCTGAACTCAGCAGAGTTATTCCGTCCTCTTCCTGTACTGGAGAGGATCCTGGGTGGAGTTAGCAGGAGGATCCTGTAGTCCTTCAGCACTTCCTTAGGCATGTGACTGGTTTATTTAAGCTTTACTCTTGTGGAAGAGGACAAGGTCTGTGACTGGAGATCAAGAATGCTTTGCTACCAGCATTAATGAAGGCTTCAAACACAGGATTTTTTGAGGCAGGACACAAAATTGTTCCCTCTGCTTATTCAGCCTAGAAGTTGAGTTGCAAATTCTTTCCAAGTTAGTTTTTGAGCCAAGTCTCTTTAATGGGATCAGTGTGACTGAGTGTTTTTGATTCCCCCCGAAACTTTGTGAATGGAAGGACCAGAGGTTTCTGCTGTTGACTCCGCTGATGAGTTTTCTGCTACGAGCCCCTTCAAGAAGTGTTATTTATTCTTTTTTTTTTCCTTGATGGGTTAAGTTGATTCGTGTGGCTTGTGATGGCTGAAAATAAGTTCCTTTCCAGCTGTCTGACCACTGGAGCAGCTGTGCTGAGCAGCAATGTTTGCGGTGGAGTAGTTTAAAACAAACCTGTGTGTTCGTCAATGAGATGAAGAGAAGCCAGAAGTGAATGCACAGAAAGCTGCCTGACAGCGCCTTGTAAGTACTGATCTTCCCTAGCCTGTCCTCTAGAAAGTATTTGTGACATTCTCATCCCTCCAATGAAATACAAAGCTGATACTGGACAAAGAAAATGCTCTGGGCTGCTACTGATAGAGCAGCCATCTGTTAGGGTGCGTATTCGATCGGGCCTTGCTGCTCTGGAGCCTGAGGTTGGGCCGTAGCTGGTGTCAGAGCAGAGCAGGAAGGTGCCCTGTGCTGCTGGCAGACGGCAGCGTGACAGATGTCGGCAAGGTGTTGCAGAGCACCTGCTCCGTATGTTGCAAACTGTCACAGATGTTTCCTAATGCCTTGCACTGTGCTAGGGCTTCTTGGGATAAAAAAAAAGAGAGAAGCAATCACTGCAGTGTGCTAGCGTGAGGAAACAAGGGCTGTCTGCACCTTGGGTCTAGCAAGCACCTCATCCCTCCCTGCATGTGTGCTGTGCTGTGTGTGTAGGTAGCGGTAACAGGGCCTCTGCAGTGCCTGCTGATCTGCCTTCTAAACTGAAGGAAGCTAAAATAATCTTCTGTAATCCCAGATCCAGGTATGCCCGTTCTGCTGAGCGCTGTAGGTGTTCCAGCCGTAGTTAAGACTGCAGAGCTCGACCTCAGGAGGGGCTGAAAAGGCTTGGCTTCCTCTCCTTTCTCAGGAAGCAAAACAGAACATTTTTGGACTCAGAGGCTTCTGGCAGAAGCAATGAAGCTTTGTGATTCATGGGATATGAGCAGGGCACAAATAGTTGTCATTCAGAGCTCTGGAAGACAAACACAGGGTATGCCTAAGGACTCCCTCTGCAAGCTCAGTTTTATTTTCCACGTGGTTCTTTCTGCAAGTTCACTCAGGCTCCATCTCAAAGCAGATTAGGCTCTTTCCTGACATGCACTTCAGCAGTTGGTGTGTTTGTGCCCTGTTGACAGGAAAACCTGGTGAAGAGAGCGTGCTTTTGAGGAGCTCGAGGCATGGGGAGCACACCTGGGAGTGGTTCTTGCCCTGTCCATGGCCTGAGTGCTCCGGTGTGGTAGGTCATCCCCCCTGCTCCCACTGTTAAGTGCTGCTCTTCCTCAGCTGGCTTTCTGCAGCAACGTTCCCTAAAACTTGTTCTGCTCTTGATTTATGTCATTGTAGTGCTCTGCTATCTGGCCTTGATCTGTAGAGCCGTGCTCTCCGGGGTGAGGGTAGCGTCTCCAAAAAGAGCTGTATTTGGTAGTCGCTGGAGCACTGAACGAGACCCAGGGGAGGCTCAGGATCCAAAACTAAGCACTTGAGCAGACCAGGAAGGATTGTAGCTTCCAGGATGCCAGACTGGCCGAATGTGAATGTTTCTGGTTACATCCTGAGTGTTGCTGCAGGTTCTCGGAGGGGTGTGCTGCTGTGCAGAAGTCCTTGAAGTTGTCTCAGTCTTCTGCTGACGTGTCTCAGGCCTGTGGGCCAGTTTTTGTGCTGTGGGAAGCTGATCTTGCATCGCAGCACAGTGGGAGGCTGGGTTTTCTTCTGTAAAAGTTGGGTCCTCCCTGTCCTTGTTCTGCAGCACTGCAGGTCCTGAGGGCAGGCCACGGTCCTAGGAGCTGCAGCAGGGTGATGCTGCAGACAGACGTGCCAGCTGCTTGTGATGAAGGCACGGGTCAGTGGTACTTAGTGCAGTCGGCTCTGTTGTGTAATGCATCACAATTTTAAATGTTTGTTCTCTTTGTTTTGGTAGAAAATAGCTTTACTGGTGAGTCATGAAGCACTGCCAGTATTCCCATCCAAGACAGCTTGTGAAGAGTGGGAACATCAGCATCCTGATGTGCCTTCTGTAGTTCTCACACCCATCGCAGGGAAGTTCTGCCACCGCCTCTCATGTGCACGGTGCCTTCTGAGGCTAGTTCCTCTGTCACCTGAAGTTACCCATCCAAGAAGCCATCCCTGCTCTTCCCCCTGCCTTTTTCTGGGGCTGATACCCTCGGACTGTGTTGTCCTGGTGCTCCAGCAGGATCTTGGGCACTGCTTGTTACTGAGGAGCGGCACATGCTGAAGGGCAACGCCACCAAGAGCTGAGGCATTACCCCCCTTCGTGGTTATGAAGAGCAGAGCTACCTCCCCTTTCTGACTTTTCTTTGGAAAGGTTTTGTCAGTACAAGAAAATGCAGCTTATTGCTCGTTGTGCCCGTGCTGCTAGAGACGAAGCATTTGAAACATGAGGCATGTAGCTTGGATTTGGAGTGGGTGTGCATCTGGATGTAAATACTGGAGGGCCAGTCCTCTCCCAGTAAGAGGTATTTTAAGTGGGACAGTACCAAGAGATTTGCTTGGCTGAACTGGTCTCCCTCCCACTGCTGTGGGGGTTACACACAACATCTCAGCCTAATTGGAAGGACTGAACTTCATGAGCCAGCTGAAATAGTTGAACCAGTGCCTGTTTAACAGAGGAAGGATGAGTAATATTGAGGCCATCAAATAGTTTTTTTTTGCTTTATAGTTGTTTGAAACTGCTGGGATTCTTCTGTCTGTAGTTGTGGATGGTGTCCATGTTTAGTAATAACCCTTTGCTCTGAGTTACCCTGAGGAGTGTTGCTAAGCTGCGTGACAGAACATCGCCGTTTTCTCAAGCCTTGTAGACAGCTGCTGCATGAACTTTGTGAAATCCCACAAAGTGTTTTTTCTCACGCTTGTGTGCAGGAAAACACTGGATGTCCCTCTGCTTTGTTGAGGGGGTGTGGATGAAGAGGTGGAGCAGTCGTAAGGGGGTTTGGACTCTGCTCACCTGGTGCCCAGCTCCTTGGCTTGCGTGGTGGCCACAGAAGGCTTTCTGTGTGCCGCTCACTGCCTCGTGGGGGTGACCACACACCTGTAACCCGCCGTGCTGAGCTGTCCTGCGCTGGCAGGGTTAACAGCTCAGTGCCCCTGGACTGCAGCTTCAGGGACATGAATTCCCTTGGAGGTCGCAAGGAATTAACGAGGAAATCCTTTCCTGAGGAAGTGCAGAGTGTCCTGGCAGAAATGCTGTTACTTTCTGCCCCGCTGCTGCGTGGCCCTCACCGACATGCAGGGATTGCTGACTGCATGCTCACCGCTCCTCTTCTGTAGGTGGAAAACAGAGCAGCTGCCCCAAGGCAGCGCATGAAGCCCGATTCCTTACTTTGTACTCTTCTTGGGGGTGGCTGGATCCTTGGCAGCCAGCCTGGGACACTTCTCAGAGGCTGCTGCCTGCCCTCGTTATCACTTTCCCTGGAGCCCTTGGACCTCTTGAGTCATCTCTCAGGTTATCTGCAGGCTGGGCAGTGGAGAAGGCTGGAGTGACTCCCCGGTGTGGGTTGCTGCTGTCCTCACAACAGTTCAGGTAGCGTATTCCTAGCTCGGCAGCCTTCTTCCTTGAAGCAGGCCGAGGGTTTCCATCTCTTGCTCTGGTGACTAAAATCTTCCTGCAGCCTCCTGTCCGTGAGAGCGACCTGCCGGGCCCTGGACGGGCGCGTGTGCCTGCCTGGGTGTTTGTGACCTCCCCCGGAGGTTAAGGAGCGTGCTTGGATAATCTCCCTCTGCTCAGCTGCGGATGCTGGTGCTTCCTGCTGTCACTGCTGAAGCAGACCCCGAGACACTTTGCTCTCAGGTTTCAGCGTAAGCTGGGAACGGTCCCAGGACTGGAGGTGACGTGTGTGTCTCCTGGGTACGGTAACTGCCCTTATCGCCCAGCAGTCTCTTATCTCCCTCGTCCCGTGACGTTTAAACTACGGGAAGGTGTAAAGTAAAGCTTGTCCCGTGCTTGGAGCAACTGAACATTCAGCTTCAATCACTGGCAAAATGAAAGAAACCAAATCCAAGGCGATGCTGGATAAGCATGGGGAGATCTGAGCCTGGAAAGCGTTCAGCTGTGGAGTGCTGATGTGCTGCAGGTGCTGGCACCTCGCTTCTTCTTGGATATTAACTGTCATCAAGCAGCTAGAAACAACACCACCACACGCAGGCAAGCCTCTGCTGCTAGAATTGTCCTGTTGGTAAAGCAAATAAGAGGGAGGGGAGAAATCTGCAGCATGTTTTTGTCCTCGTGGTATGACTCAGGCTCTGTGTGAGGTTAGACACGGAGCCACATTTCTGCAGTGTGATGTTTTCTCCTCCCCAGCCCAGCGAGCCGAATGTTCCCCTCGTTCCCTTCACGCCGGGTGTAGCTGTGTGGTCATCTAACCGCAAAAGGAAATGTTTTCCATGGGAGCAGCGGGGTGATTCAACTCAGCTGAACGTCTGCTTGCGTTATCCCAAAATCCAGTGCGAGGGAACGCTGACAAGGAGAGAGCAGCGTTGTGGTGCTGGGACCTTTTGGGTCAGATTGGGCTAAACGTGTTAGGAAGGGGCACCCTTAGCATCAGGATCTCTTGAGCTGCACCTTTCCCATTGCTGAATGGGGGAGGAGGGAACTTCCTGACCCTGGCACCTCGTCTGGCTGGGTTATGTGGCTGCAGGGACATCCCGTGGCTGGTTGAGGAACAGCCTGAGCTGTGCTCAGGCCTGCAGGACCCCTCAGCCTTTAGTTATTGCCCCTGCGTGTGACCGTGCTGAGAAACTGGAGATGTGATGAGTTCAGGGACTGAAGTTGCTGTGTCATTCTTGTACCAAAGACTTCAAATAGATCCCTGCTGTGAGGAAATCCTGTGTTTTCCCTAGCAGCCCCAGGGACAGCTATGAAAGGGCAAAGCATCTGGAGAGAATTTGGATAGTTTTACTTTTCCGTTATCCTTTGGCTGTGCCGGGCAGTTGGCAAACATTTAAAGAGCATCTGTCTTCTCCAAAGCACTTCTGTTCTCAGCTGGATTTAACAGCCCCTCTTGCCTACCTCTAGAAAGCCCAGACCTACTGTGTGAGGAGGTGGAAGCATGGGGAAACAGTTGCTGTCCTGAAGGGCTTGGAGCAATAAAGGAAAGGAGAGAATCGGAGGGGAAGGCATTTAGAGCACAGTGAGTGCACGATGGCAGGGTGAGTGTGGCATGCTTGTTCTGGGAACCTGTCGTGTCACAGCTTGGAGAGAAGTGAATACGAGAAAGAGGAAACGGTGTTGTGGTAGGAAGTCAACACAAGTTTAGTCATTTAGCTCCTCAGAATGCAGAGGCACAAGGAGTGGGATTGAGATTCTTGGGATGTTCTGCCTGTGGTAGCTCTGTCATCCTTACTGGCAGGCAGCTGTGGGCTTGGCTTTCCTTGTGCTTTAGCTTACAGCTCGCGCTTCGTTACCTTGCTGCCTTAACGATGAGATGAACTGAAGGAAGGAAATAGTATTTTCTAAAGATGCGAGGCTCAGAATATTCAGAGTTCCTCCTTTCCCTGTCTTCTGTCAACCCTGCTGGAGGAGCTGTGTGTGAGATTGCCTCCTGATCTGTGCGTTTACCTACAAGATTAAAGAGATGGTGAGGAGCATGCTGGAGCAAATGGGAAGTAAATAAAGAAGGGAAGAGAGGCAGCTGTGGATATAAATAAATGCTAGAGACTTTCCTAGGAGTTGAGGAGCGAATGCAAGTGCTCTTCCATTTACAGGAATCTCCTTTTGTTTTTTCAGGTCATTGTAAGGAAGTGGCCAGCCAGGATTTCTGCCCTGTGGCTGCCTGACCGCTGCTGAGCCGCATCTCCCAGCCCATGTGGCTCTCCCCATGCTCCAAGCGTGCAACTGGTGCCCAACGCAATGTGTGTTTGTCAAACCATGGAAGTGGGCAAGCATGGCAAGAATGCCACTCGATCCGGAGACCGGGGGGTCCTGCTGGAGCCTTTCATTCACCAGGTGGGCGGCCACAGCAGCATGATGCGCTACGATGACCACACCGTCTGCAAGCCACTCATTACCAGAGAGCAGCGCTTCTACGAGTCCCTGCCCCCCGAAATGAAGGAGTTCACACCTGAGTACAAAGGTGAGGCCTGGTGTCGTTTCGGAATGCAATTCCTCTCACTTTGCTGGAGCTGCCGGTGTGTTGCTGTCTCTTTGTCTCGTTTTATTTGTTACTTTTATCTTTTGCAGGTGAGCAGTTTGATAAGAGCTTTTTGGAAAGGAGGAAGTCTTTTTTAATTTTTTTTATTTTGGCATGCTAGGCTTCGTGTGCTCCTCCTTCTAGACAAACTAAAGAGTTACGGTTGCAGTCTGGTGCTTCAGGTTATGAATGTGTATCTGAAGTAATTTTACTAGCAAGTAATTGTCAGTTATTGCCTTGACCTTCAGCAAAAGAAGTTGGGTCATACACCGAGCACTCGTGCATTCCAGTCTTATAATTTACTACTTCCTCATCCCAGCTCTTTTATGGGCCCATATCAGAAACCCTTGCTGCTTCAGCAGCTTCCTTTCCCAGAGCTGAGGTGAAGCCTTGTCCCCAGCTGCTCTGAAGGAATGGAATTTTCCAGTGTCTTTGTGGCTGTAGGAGGTGGGCAGCTCACCTGTACCTTCCAGGAGCCTGACAGGCTTATGGCCATGTGCTTGTATTTAGGACAGTAACACGGGCTGGTGGCCTTCTGGGGGACTTAGTGTTTGTGGTGCCTCTGCCTCTTTGTCTCTGCATGCTGTCGGGAGGCCCGTGCTCCCCAGACAGTTGGGGCCACCATCTGCTCCAGGTCTTGCCGTTTGATCTGGCTGCAGCCTGAAGGTCTGAGAGCAGTGTCAACTTACCTGCCTGTCTGTGCGCAGATTGGGGACAAAAGCTATCCTCTCCGGCAGACCCTCAAGCCTCTCTGGGTCCATATGGTGCTGTGCTGACCCAGCTGAACTCTCAGCTGAAGCTCGTGGAGTTAGTGGAAGCAATGTGATGCCAGGCTTTCCTTGGGAGATCCATTTAAAACTGCTGAAGCTGATAGCCCAGAGAGAGGCCTGGCGTCCTGAAGTGCGATACTTCCTGGTTGCCTAAGGGCAGAGGGCAGGCAGCAGGGTGTGGGATTTCATCGGAGGCTCCTGTGCGGCTTCCTGCTGGTCCCCAAAGTGGTGGTGTCAGGATGATGTTTCTTGTCTGATCACTCCTATTCCTGTATAATTGCCCGTTCACAGGGGCAGCTTGAGGAGCACGTGCAGGCAGCCAGAGCACTTGGATGGGCATTTACGTAGTGACACGCTGGAGTCCTGAACTGCTCTGAGCTTGTGCTGAGCCTTCTTACACTTGTTTCATCACTTTCGTGGTGAATCTTTGTGTTCAGCACATGTAGTATCTGATATTCCTGGCAGCTGTTTGACGCCGGTGTCAAGAGAATGAAAGATTTTGTCATCGCAAGACAGGAGATGTGTTGATCACCTCATTTTCAGGGCTAAGATGATGTCAACGCTAACTGAAAGTGCCAGGTGTTCTGCTTCATGGCTGGTCAGCTAGATACATTCAGAATTGGTGCCATGAAAGATCTGTATCTTTTCTTGGAGTGTGGTGTTTTCCAGGAGTCCACAGAAAGCAAAATTGGACAGGGCACACATGGGTGGGCTTGCCCTCACCTGGCTGAGGTAGTGTACTTCCAGGACCTCCTGTTTTTATCACTAGGAAGCCCTGGGACCTCACAGGGCTTTTTTTTTTTTTTTTTTATCTGCGAGACTTTAGCTGACTTCAGATACAAGCAGCAGGTGCTACCTGAGCCTCAGAGCTGAGATGCTGCAGAGCTCCTCTAGCTGAGAGATGCTCTTGTCAACAGCAGGAACGCTTCTGCAGGGCATATACCCAACTCAAAGTAACTAAATGTCTATTCACATTTTTTGTTTTGGCGCCCCTCAGCATCTTGGTGTGCTATGCTGGGTGTTCTCCACTTTGTCGACATCCCTTATTTTACTGGCTGCTGCAGGACTGACCAGAGGAAACGATCACACCCCCTCAGCCTTCCAGCTGCATTTTTGTTAGCACAGCTCAGCAGGGTGTGAGCACTCAGGGCTAGGAGCCTCACATGCTCCTAGCACAGTTTTGGGTGGATAGCACAGCTGTTACTGCAGTTCTGGACTGTTTGCTCCAGTAGTGATGCAGGACACTGTCTGGGAAGTTTTCTTCCCTGTGCTGTGTTTAAAAGTATTTGGATTCTTCCCTTTGTCCTCTTAAACCTTGTTTCACTGCTCTGGATTTCTCTTGCTGCTCTGTGAGCTGTGTTTTCCTCTGTGCCGTTGAACACATGGATGCTAGTGGTTGTGTATTCCTCCCCTGAAAAACGGTGCTGACGTCGCTTCTTTCTGGCAGGTGTGGTGTCTGTCTGTTTTGAGGGAGACAGCGATGGCTACATCAACCTGGTAGCGTATCCTTACGTGGAGAACGAGGCTTTGGAGCAGGATGACATGCCAGAGAGGGACCAGCCACGACGCAAGCACTCGCGTCGAAGTCTTCACAGATCAAGCAGCGGCACTGAGCACAAGGAGGAAAAGCCTGGCCTGGCCAGTGACAGCACCGAAAGGTAAAAGCTTTGAGGGTCTAGTCACAACGTGACAGCTGGAAAATGTCTTAACCCTTTCAGCCTTAGTCACCCTTTTGTTTAGGGTGTTTTACACTGCCACACAGTTGCTAGGTTGTCTTGCACTTACTATCCCAGCATCCTGTGGCACTGCAAACAGACAGTTCTCATCCAAGTGAAGCGCTTCTCACACAGGAAGAAACCTTGGAAGGTTAATTGGATGTGGAACCAAAACCTGAGAAGCAAATTCAAACACTCTGAAGTCCATCAGGTTATTCACCCAAGGTTAATGAGGATGGGTCCATGTCCTGGGATGTTAGTGAGGATTTGCTGCGTAAGATTAGTGTGAAGTGTGCAGAAGGAGAAGGAACAGGAGATGCTACTGTGCGAGGGAATTGCATGACTGTTGTAAGTATCTGGAGAATACATGGATTCTAACGGGCTGCCTTGTTCTGTCTTTATACCAGCAACATCCAGGAGACAAAGAGCCCCAGGGTGGACATGCACATCCACTCAGATGTTCCATTTCAGATGTTGGATGGGAACAGTGGTCTGAGCTCTGAAAAGATCAGCTATAACCCCTGGAGCCTGCGCTGTCACAAGCAGCAGCTGAGCCGCATGCGGTCAGAGTCCAAGGACCGAAAACTCTACAGTATCCTTTGGGAAGCGAAGTGAGCGCGTCAGGTTGCTGCTGCTGCGCTGGCCGATGTGTTTGTGCTTGAGGCAGCCAGGCCTCGCTGGTGTCAGCATGCCACTGCTGCTCAGAAGCCGTGTTTCTGGCTAGTTCCCATGTTTTCTTTCCTTTCTGGACCACCTTTGAGTCAGTTTGTGTGTTCTTAACTAGACAGTTTTTCATGTTGGGCAAGGTCTGACAGCAGACGCAGGTCTGGGCTGTGCAGCAGTTCCTTGGGAAGGAGCTGTGATTGTCCTTGTCACCTTTCTTGAGTCTCTTCCAGTTCTACTGTATCCCTCTGGAGACGGTGACCTGAACTGCATATGGTACAGAAGATGCTGGTGAACCAGAGGTTTCCAGTGGCACGTAATGCTGTTGTCTCCATCTCCTCATGATTTGTAACACACGTTCTTGTAACTGTTGCTTTGTTGACCCAACATCTCATTCCTGACTGGTAACAGTCATCTCAAAACCCAGTGCTTCATACCTCAAGCTAAAAATCTTTTCCCCCTTATGTTTATCATCTTGCACATTCACTCCAGAGAATTTTGTCTATCAGTTTAGTGGCCAAGTCAGTCTTGTAAGGTCTTTTGGGGACTTTTCATAACTGCTCCTCATCTTTGCAACCTCAAGTGACTTAGTATATGAGCAAATTTGCCATCCCCTTCACTTTTCTGGATCACTTGTTGACTAGTGTAGATCCCCACACAAAGACCCTGCTGGTGACTTGGGCTGTGAGACCAGTCAGGCATCCTGACTTTTTTCTTTTATTTGCTGACAAGTTAATCACCCTGTCAGCACCTCAGTCCTCAGCCTGCTGTTTAGCCTCTTTGAGACATCTGTCAAATGTCTTCTGATACTTGTGCGGATTTCATTTGGTCCAATACCTCATGTCTGTGTTTCTTGAAGTTGCTGAAGAACCCCAGGATATTTTTGAGACGTTACTTTCACAACAGGTGTGCCTGATCTTCCCTGATAAATTGTACTTATCTGCATCTGCCTCTGTTCTTCCATCCAGCATCCCTCTGAGCTGTGAGGTACGCTTCTGTCAGTTTGTAGTTCCTGTATCTCTGCAGGTCAGCACTGCAGTAGTCTCCCTTTAGTCTTCTGGAGCTAAGGCAGCTTTAAATGAGGTAGCGCATCCTGTTTAATAAGGGAGGTAGCTCTGCCTTGTGATGTTTAGGGCTTCTGGGTGAGACTGCCCATTTCTGGTGAGTTGTTACTCTTCAGTTTTTCTTGGACGTGCGATCTCTTCTCTTTGCATTTCAGTTTGTGACAATTCTTTGAAATTAGCACTTTTGCTTGAGAATTCCCAACGTTCTTCGCCGTTAAGCACAATAAAATATTAACATTAATTTTTCTTTTTGGGGTCTCTCCTTTTTGCTTCCACCCTGCCCCCCAGCTCCTTTTATGCTTTGACTATAAACCCTTCGGGCAGTCTGAGTCACTGCTTCACGTGGCAGAAGGAGGTTAATTTCTGTGCCTTTGCAAATTGCTCCTTGTACTTCTTTTCTAACTTGCCAACTTGTGTTTTTGTTTCACCTGCTGGAGCTTGATTTTTGTTTTCCTTGCTTAGAAACAGCCTCGCTTTTAATAGCTTTATTCTTCCACATTTTAACTGCGTAGGCTTCCTTTTCCTATTCTCAAATGAGTGCTTTGAGCCTCCAGCTTGTATTTTTAAATAGAGGCCACATCGCTTTCAGAGCAGTAATTCTTTTTAGCTGTCCTATCTTTTTTTAACACACTTCCTTATTTTTATGAAGTTCCTCTTTCAAATCAGATGTGGCTGTTGATGGATTTTTCTAAATGTTAAACTTCCTTGTAAGTTTAATCTGGCTGTGCTCTGGTTGCCATTTTAGCATAATGTGCTGAACCATGACCTACTCTTTCGGGCAACCTTCGGCGTTGTTTTTCCCCTTTGGGACTCCGTTAGCTCTGGTGGTTGCCTCAGGCTTGTTCTCAGTGTTGTGCCCTACTGGAAGGCTTGCCCATTGTGTGTGGTGGTGACTGAAGGTTCCCATTGCTGCTGTTTCCTGCCTTTGTAGCCTCTCCAGTTTTTCCTCATGTATTGGTTAGCGCTGCTGTTCTGGTCAGGTTGATAACAGCAGCACTGTGGATCTTACTTGAACCTCGAGTTCTTGGTCTGTGGGGACTGTGTTCTTTTTCCGTGTGGTTAAATTGCGGATCTGTGTAGACTGAGCTCTCCCTTAACATACCACCAGTTCTTCCTAGCATACTGGGTCTTTTCTGACGTAGGCATTCTGCTCCTTGGCTCCTCCTGCTGAGCGCAGCGTGCCTGTATGTGATCCCCTGCTTGGTGCTGGGCAGGCCACTTCCCAGGCTGACTTTTCCTACAGGGTGCCAAAGCCCGTGTGCCACTGCTTGGGTTTTGTCCTTTCTCTTCACCTTCCCAAACAGTTTGTTCTCTCTCTTCTTTGGTTCCTATTTGTTTGCCACCCAACCCTATCTCACGCCGCGTCCCTCTTCCTGGCTGCCCTGGGGAGCAGCGTCTCTGCCAGTTGAGCTCTCCTTGACGCCTCTCCCAGAGTTCCTCTTGCTGGAGAACGTGGTGCATCACTTCAAGTTTCCCTGTGTGCTTGATCTGAAGATGGGGACCAGACAGCACGGAGACGATGCCTCTGAGGAGAAGGCTGCTCGGCAGATGAAGAAGTGTGAGCAGAGCACTTCTGCCACCTTGGGCGTGCGAGTGTGTGGCATGCAGGTAGGAATCCCCAAGTCTGCAGCAGGTGCTGCACATCCTTTCCCCAGCTCCGTTAGAGCTGCTGACTAGTTAGTGTTTTCTGCTGAGCACTGAGTTAGCCCTCCTCGTCAGGTAGGTACACCAGAGTTTGTGGTATGAGCTTTTTGTTTTCACTTCTAGTCCTAGGACAAAGGATTCTTGCAAGGTGGCCTGCTTTATCCAGAGGTGTTCATGGAAAACATGGGGGTTTTCTAAAATAACTGTTCTTCTGGCTTAGTGTTAAGCTAGAACTGCAGTGCCTGGGGGAGATGTGTTGTTTCTGCCCTGGCATCATCTGATGTTTACTTCTGTACTGTACTGGGACTTTAAATCATCTCTTGGTGCTACACCTTGAGCACAAGGATTTACCACTGGTGCTGTTGCACAACAGCGTTGATCTTTTTCGCCACCAGCAGAAGTATCTTGTAATCCAGATCTCTGCCCACAGACTCTGAAGCAATGAGGGCCCTGCATTAATCACATGCCACGTCCTAATGGCAAGGCATGCATGGCTCCCGCTGCCAGAGGATGTGTCTGAGCTGCTTTTTAAACAACTCAGCTTTTTGAGCCTTGGGGTCTGTTGTGGTGTGCTGCTTTGGGGACGCTCACCTGTGGGTGTCATGGGGCCAGTGCCAGCCTGGTGCTTGGACACCCTGGCTGTGCACACGTGAGCTGCTTTGGGATTCAGGGAGCTCGCAGAGCTGTTTGCTCGCTCCTGGGTGTGGTGGTGAGGTGAGCTCCCTCTGCCCTGTCCCTACAGGACAGCTTTGGGCTCTGTGCGTTGCCTCAGCCTGGCGTTCCCACTTGATGTGTATTTCCTTTGATGTTCTAGGTCTATCAGCTGAACACAGGGCATTACTTATGCAGGAATAAATACTATGGACGCGGTCTTTCCATCGAGGGCTTCCGCAATGCCATCTACCACTATCTCCACAACGGCGTAGAGCTGCGCAAGGACCTCTTTGAGCCTGTCCTCGCCAAACTCCGAAGCTTGAAAGCAGTTTTGGAGAGACAGGCCTCCTACCGCTTCTACTCCAGCTCCCTTCTCATCATTTACGATGGGAAGGACAACAGGTCAGGGACGTTTGTGGATATCCGGCCCGAGGCGCGCCTGAAGCGAACGGACAGCTCCCTCCCCGAGAGCCTTCAGGACGGCGGCAGCACAGAGCCCGACTCGCCCCGGCCCAAGGTGGATGTGCGTATGATTGACTTTGCGCATAGCACCTTCAAAGGCTTCCGCGATGACCCCACTGTGCACGATGGGCCTGACATGGGGTACGTGTTCGGGCTGGAAAGCCTCATCAACATCATGGAACAGATGCGTGAAGAGAACCAGTAGTCCCAGGCCACAGCCTCTTGTCCTGGTGACTGGAGCCGACAGGACCACCTCCTAGCACAGGAAAAGCAGACACCTCCATTTTAAAAACAATTATATTGCTCCATTGTTTTTTAAATGTACTTGGCTAGAAGAGCTGAGGGGAGGCAGGGTGGAAGAGAGCGCCTGGTGCTGCCCAGCTGGTTCTGACCACGTTGGCTCTGCCTGCTGCAGGAGCGTCCAGAGATGCCTATGGGGGGGCGGGGGGCCTGGTTCTTCGCTCCTTGCCTGTGTGTACTGGAGGGGGGCCTGGCCTTGGGGCAGAGAAAGTGGGGGGGGTGGGAGCTGGGGCTGGAGGAGCCTCCTGTCCTGGAAGCCCATGGGATAGTTTTGAAATTCCCTTGGTTCCGTGCAGCCTCGTTCCGTGTGGGCACTGTGGATAATGGATCACCCGAGCGCGGAAATAAAGCGACCAACTGCGGCCCCGGGCACGGCGTGCTGGGGGGGGCACTGCCGGGGGGCGGGCGGGGCTTCCTGCGGGGGGGGGGGGGGCTTGGCGGAGACCCCGCCCCCGGGGGCCGGGCGGTGACGCGGGGCGCGCTGCTGACGTGTCCGTGTGGCGGCGCGGGCGGGGGCGCGGGGATGCGGGCGCTGATCCTGGTGGGGGGCTTCGGGACGCGGCTGCGGCCGCTGACGCTGAGCCGGCCCAAGCCGCTGGTGGAGTTCTGCAACAAGGCGCTGCTGCTGCACCAGCTCGAGGCGCTGCGCCAGGCGGGGGTCAGCCATGTGGTGCTGGCCGTCAGCTACATGTCCGAGGCGCTGGAGGCCGCCATGCGCCAGCAGGAGCAGCGGGTAAGGGCGGCGGGGGGCCCCCCCCGGCACCCCGGGCACCCCCTGCGCGGGGCGGCCCCGCCCTGACCGCTGTGCCCGCAGCTCGGCCTCCGCATCTCGCTGTCGCACGAGAAGGAGCCGCTGGGCACAGGTAGCGCCGGGAGGGGATCGGGGGGGGGGGGGACGACCGGGAGGGGGCTGCGGGCTGAGGGGGGGGGGGGGGCGCGGGCTGGGCTCGCCCGGTGCCGCGCCGCTGCTGACGGGCGGGCAGCGGGGCCGCTGGCGCTGGCCCGGGAGCTGCTGGCCGAGGGCGGGGAGCCCTTCTTTGTGCTCAACAGCGACGTGATCTGCGAGTTCCCCTTCGCCGCCCTGGCCCGCTTCCACCGGCAGCACGGCGGGGAGGGCTCGCTGGTGGTGACCCGCGTGGAGGAGCCGGCCAAGTACGGCGTGGTGGTGAGCGAGGCCGACACCGGCCGCATCTGCCGCTTCGTGGAGAAGCCGCGGGTCTTCGTGTCCAACAAGATCAACGCCGGGCTCTACATCTTCAGCCCCGGCATCCTGCGGCGCATCCAGGTAGGGGCCGGGCTGGGGGCCGGGGGCTGAAGGCTGGGAGCCCCCCGCTGAGCCCCGTGCCCCGTCCCCGCAGCTGCGCCCCACGTCCATCGAGAAGGAGATCTTCCCGGACATGGCGCAGGAGGGGCAGCTCTACGCCATGGAGCTGCAGGGTAAGGCCCTGCCCGGGCACGGGGGTGCCGCCCGCGCCGCTGCCCCCTCGCCGGGGGCTGTCACCACGGCTCTGTCCCCGCAGGCTTCTGGATGGACATCGGGCAGCCGAAAGACTTTCTCACGGGCATGTGCATGTACCTGCAGGCGCTGCGGGCTCAGCACCCCGAGAAGCTGCACTCGGGGCCCGGTGTTGTAGGGAATGTGCTGGTGGTAAGTGCCAGCCCCCAGCACGCCAGCCCCAGGCATGCTTCGCAGGCTCGCTCCGGCTCACCGTGCTGTGCTCACCGTGCCCCTCAAGCTGTGCCCTCCCGTCCCCACGCCAGCGAAGCGTTGCAGGCCGTGCAGAGCTGCAGCTGCCTCGCAGCCCCAGTGCAGCCTTTCTTCCTTCCAGGACCCCAGCGCCAAGATCGGGGCAAATTGTGTCATCGGCCCCAACGTGACGATCGGGGCCGGCGTGGTGGTGGAGGACGGGGTGCGCATCAAGCGCTGCACGGTGCTGGAGGGGGCCCGCATCCGCTCCCACTCCTGGCTGGAGTCCTGCATTGTGGGCTGGAGCTGCTCCGTGGGGCAGTGGGTGAGGACGTGGGTGCTGCAGGGCTGGGGGGGGTCAGGGGTCTCGCCCTCCTGCCTCCTCCTGCCATCCCAGGCTGTGGCCGAAGGGCAGCCTGGATGTGCCTGCGGGCAGGAGCAGGAGCGTGGCACCGTGCCCTGAGCCGGGGCGGGTGTGACGGGGCTCTCTGGGGCAGGTGCGCATGGAGAACGTGACAGTGCTGGGCGAGGACGTCATTGTCAACGACGAGCTCTACCTCAATGGGGCCAACGTGCTGCCGCACAAGTCCATCACCGAGTCTGTACCAGAGCCACGCATCATCATGTAGCAGCCCCCGGTGCGCCCTCCGCTCCCAGCTCTGCCTGGATTAAATATTTATACTTCTGTCTACCTCTGAGCATCGTCTGCGCACAGCCCAAGCACCCAGGTCGCTTGCCGGAGCCGGCCTGGCTTCCCCTCCCCATGTCTCAGGGCACCACATAAGGAAGAATAATTTAATGCTGCATTTCATCAAGTCAGCCCCCAGCCAGGGGCAAAGTAACAGAGCCCAAACACACAGGGCCCAGGGCCCAGGCACCGCTCTCCGCATGCGGGGCTGCTGTGGCAACGAGGCCTCGGGCTCCCCTCCCTGAGAATGACCTGCAGGGCAGGAGAAGGGCGATGCTGGCCCCAGAGCCTGCCATCCGGCCCCTCCCTGAGCCAGCCTCTCCCTGCAGAACCCGGCCCTGCGCTGGGTCCTGGCCTGTCCCCGGGAGGGGGGCTGCCGAGGGAGAAGCCAGCGTGCAGCGCTCAGCTGGGGGAGCCCGAGGCGCGGGGCTGGGTGCTACGAGCTGGCGGGCTTGGTGAAGTCGTCCACGCCCGTGATGGTGGCCTTGCAGAAGAAGCAGTCCTTGTTGTTCATCAGGTGCTGGTTGATGCAGGCTCTGGGACAGGAGAGAAGTGTGAGCACCCTTTGCCCCTTAGTGGTGCTGGGAGCTGGGGGCACGGGCACGCAGGAGCTACTCACTTGCACGACTTGTGGGAGCAGGGCCTGAAGATGGCTGAGATGGGGTGTGCGTAACAGATGGGGCAGAGATCCTCCTCGCTGGTGGGCTGGGGAGGGGGCGAGCAGGCAGTTGGTGGTGGTGAAAACCATGGCACCTCAGAGCTGCACGGCAGCTGTGCTGTGGCTGCACCCAAGCAGTGTGACAACTGCCTTGTGGGGTCAGGGGCAGGGGCAGGGACTGGGGCAGGGGAGACTCACCAGCATGGTGGCAGCCGCCTGCTTGGACTCCTCACTCAGGTGGCTCAGCATCTTGTCCACCTTCGCCAGCTCCTCCGTACTGATGTACTCTGTGTCTGTAGGACCAAAAATGGGTGTTGGGGTGGTGCCCCCCCCCCCCAAGCCCAGGCTGCCCTGAGGCTGCTGGGTGATGCAGGGGGATTGCGGCTGCCCTCAGGAAGCAACCAGGATAGGGGACAGCAGCTGGATAGTTGGGAACACTCCTGCAAAATCAAACCTCCCTGGGCCTGAGGCACTGGCTCAGAGAATGCAGCCAAGGGCGCTGCAAGGGGACAAAACCGCCACCGATAGCAGGCACCAACCTGGCTGTCAGGCTGGGACAGCCCTGACCTGAGTGCCACTGCTGGGGGCGCACCGTGCCCAGGTCAGGGCACAGCCCAGGGACCCAGCAGCCCCAGCTCCCCATCCCGGTGCGCACACTCACACGTGTTCAGGGAGAAATGGCGCTTCTCGGCGGCCGGGGCAGCAGCCGCCAGGGCTGAGGGCTCGGCGTGGCCCAGCAGGTACTGGATGGAGCGCAGCTGGAAGCAGGGGTCTGCCAGCATCACTGCTGTCGCACGCTCAGCCCTGCAAAGGGACATCACAGTCAGGCTGTGCCCCCTCCCCACCCCATCAAGTCCCCACCGGCCTGGCCAAGCCCCTGGCTGTGTCCCCAGGCCCAGCACAGCCAGCTGGGTGCTGCAGGAGCTGCGGCTGGCACTAGGCGATTGCAGCAGTGAAGTGGGAGCCCTAGGGTGCCCCAGCCCTCAGGAGTCCCCAGCGCCAGTGCCCATGGGGACAGAGCTGGGGTACAGCGGGCCACACGCAGGGCCCTGTGCTCCTCCTAGCACGTTCGAAGGCAGCCGAAGGGCATCCATCTCCTCCTCCTCCTCTGCCAGCACCCTGCTTGGGCGGCCTCCGGGGATCGATAGGGTGCATTAGCACTTGCTGAGGCTGCAACCCTCACGCTCAGGTGCCTGGCGCAGGCCTTGGGAGCTGCAGGGTGATGGAAGCAGCCAGCACTATCCTCGCACAGCAAGGGTAAAAGGAGCACAGGCCTTGGTGCCGGGGCATCCCCTGCGCCTTGGGGACAGCTCCAAGGGCAAGTGGGTGCCCAGGATGCGAGGCAGGAGGGAGTGGCCGTGGCTCCCCTGGCCTCAAGCAGCAGTGGGGACAACAGGACAGGGGAAGGGCACGGAGCAGGACGCACGTCCCCTCCAGTAATGGGGGGCGAGCAAGCCCCCGGCTCTGCTTGGGCACCTGCACCTCCCTCAGGACCCATCCCCACGGCCCCGTCCCTGGCTCTGGGCAGCCCCACGAAGGGCAAAGCTGTGTGGAGCCTCGCCAGCTCCGACTGTCGCAGCCCGAGCCTGTGCTGGGGAGCAGGGGGTTAACGGCAGCCGCAGCAGCCAAATTAGCTTTTTGCTGCCCTAATGGAAACCGATTCCCCAGCCTGCCACCAACGCGCCCAGGTGCTGCCCAAGGACATCCCCGAGCGTCCTTCACCGGGCGGCCACCCCTCGGGGGGGACCCCCCGTCCCCGTGTCCTCCGCGGGGACCCCGCCGGGCTCGGCACGACCCCGGGCCGGGCTTCGGGGGGGGGTAAAGAGGAGGTGAAGGGGGGGTCCCCGCCGTCCCCCGGCCCGCCCCCAGCCCGTGCCGGGACCAATGGCAGCGCGGCCGGGCCCGTAAATAGCGAGCGGGGCGCGGCGGGCACGGAGCCGCCGGCCGGGAGCCGCCGGGCGCCGCTCGGGGACGGAGCCACGCGTGGGGAGCGGCCCCCACCGCACCCCCCGGGGGCACCCCCCGGGGCAGCCCGAGCGCAGGTAACGCGGCGGAGGCGCTGCCCGAGCCCCGGGGGCGCCGGGCTGGTGGTGGCGGGGAGGGGACGTTGCCCTTGGACTCCTCTCGCAGCGGGACTCGGGGGGCCGCGGATGCTCGGCGGGGCCCCCCCCGTGCCCACCCGGCGCACGGCGCCCCCCCAGCACCGCGATGGTGGCCGCGGGGCCGCTGTGGCTGCTGCTGCTCCTCCAGCTGTGCGCCCACGGCCGAGCCTCGCCGCCCGCCCGCAGATGCCCCGCCGCCTGCATCTGCACCTCGGACCTGCTGAGCTGCAGCCGGCAGACGCTGCAACGCGTGCCCGGGCCGCTGCCGCCCACCGCCACCACGCTGGACCTGAGCCACAACGCCCTCACCCAGCTCCACGACCGCTGGCTGGCCGCCCTGCCGCACCTGGAGGCCCTGCACATGAGCCACAACCAGATCAGGGAGCTCTCGCCGCGGGCTTTCCACAATGCCTCGTACCTGCGGCACCTGGACATGTCGTCCAACCGCCTGCACGCCGTCGAGACGCACTACTTCGAGGCGCTGGTGAGCTTGGAAGAGCTGCTGCTCTACAACAACCGCATCGCGCGAGTGGCTGAGAACGCCTTCGCCAAGCTAAGCGGCCTGAGGAAAGTTTACCTGAGCTGGAACAACCTGACCACCTTCCCCTTCCGCTCGGTGCAGGGGCTGGGCAACTACAGCCTGCGCACGCTGGACCTGTCCTCCAACAGCCTGAGCAGCATCCCCGTGGAGGAGCTGGCGGCTCTGCCCGAAAACATCGGCAACGGCTTGTACCTGCACAACAACCCCGTGCGGTGCAGCTGCCCGCTCTACCTGATGCTCCAGCGCTGGAAGCAGCGAGGCTTCAGCTCCGTGAAGGATTTCTTCGAGGAGCACACCTGCAAGGTGTCCGACACCGTGCCCCGCTCGCTGATCAAGTTCCTCAAGTACAGCCACATGTTCGAGAACTGCTCGGCCGGCCCCGAGGACGTGCACCCCGTGCCCTTCCCGGTGACGGTGGGCCAGGCCCTCCTGCTCACCTGCAACGCCAGCCTGCCCGACGTGCTCACCACCTACATGTGGATCTCACCTCACCACGAGCCCATCAGGCACCCGGGGAACAGCAACCGCTCCGTGGAGGTGTACCGCAACGGCAGCCTGAAGATCGCAGCGGCCAAGCCCTGGCACTCGGGGGTCTACGTGTGCTTGGCCATCAGCAGCCCCCGCAATTTCAGCAGGATGTGTGAGGTCAACGTGACGGTCCACTACCCCAAGCCAGACGGGGAGACCTTCAGCACCGGCCTCACGACGCTGCTGGGGTGCATAGTGAGCCTGGTGCTGGTGCTCATGTACCTGTACCTCACGCCCTGCCGCTGCCTGCCCTGCTGCAAGAAGCCGGCCCCGCTCAGCCCCCCGCAGGAGTGCAGCGCCCAGTCCTCCATCCTCAGCACCACGCCGCCTGCCACGGACGGGACGAGCCGCAAGGCCAGCGCCAACAAGCACGTGGTCTTCCTCGAGCCCATCCGGGAGGCGCAGAACGGCAAGGTCCGCCTGGCCCTCGGCGAGGATTTCCCCGACCCCAAGAACCCCAAGGTCCTGCAGCTCAAGTCGGACTCGGAGTCCATCAGCTCCGTCTTCTCGGACACCCCCATCGTGTCGTAGCAGGGCAGGGCTAGGAGGAGGCTGGTGCCTCCCCAGGAGCTGTTTTCCTCCATCGCTGCTCAAAGCAGGATTGTCGGGCACCCCGAGTTCCCCGCTTGCCTGCGCCCTGCGAGGGTGACCGGCATCACCCGCGACCGCTTCAGCCGCGAGCCCCTCGTGCCCGCCAGCACCCAGCAGGAGCCCCTCGCGTAAGCCACCGGCAACGGCCTCTTCAGCACAAGGGTAACGCTAACGAACCCAGCGCGCCCGAGAAACCCCCGCTTTGTCCTGGCAGCCAAACTCCCTGGCAGCGACGCGGGGGCTGGATTTCTGCCACGGCCGTGGGAACGCCGGGCCCAGCCCAGAGCCATTGTCCTGGGCACCCTCGGCACTGTCCCTGGGGGCAGCGCCACCGTCCTCTCCCTGCCCGTGCCAGTCCCCATCTGCGTGCCGCGGTCTGGAGCAGGGGCAGTGTGTCCCTGGGGCGAGCCCCCACCGATACAGCCGGGCCCGTGCAGGCACCCATCAGCCGGGGGGGCTGGGATGCGTCCCCCTCCCTAAGGCAGCTGTGCAGGGAGGAGGGGGCTCAGCTCCCGGCGAGGCACGCAGCCGAGCAGACAGCGCAAGCTTTTGCTTCTTAACACTCACGAGAAGCTGTAAATAGTAGAGGCAGGCATGCACGAGGTGACGTGATGCAGCGCCCCGACCCGCAGTGCTCAGAGCTCTCCCCGTGCCACCAAGGACGATGAGGTCTCGCGCGCCACCCGCCCCGCTCCGTTTCTCCTTGAG